TGCATGCTACCCGAAAGAGCTGGATGAGCACCAGCCTACCTCCTCCTATGGCAGTCATCATCATCTCCATCAGGATCGCTTCCCCGAGACTCGCACGCTCGCGCTGGACTATCGTTCTTCCTTCGACGGTTCTTATGGAAAAGAGTCATCTCAGCTCGGGAGTCCACCTATAACGGTAGCGACGTTCGAGGAACCGGTGTCCCCGCGGACACGGTGTACTTTGGATAACATTTCAATGAGTTCTGATTCCGAGCCCATGTCTGGATACTCTCTGACGAGCTGGTGGACCTATGAGAAAGAAAAACCAGATCGATAATTACATAAAGAGACCCCAAGCCCCTAGTAAAAGGAGAAGTAACCATCCTGTGTTTCCTCAAGCGTACCCATTCTGGTCAAGACATTGTTGGCACCCGTAAACAAATGCTCACTGCTGACTTCAACTCAGGAAGCTACCACAAGCTCTTGGAAGAGATAGGAAAAGTATTCCGAACGGATCCAAGCGTAAGTCTACGGTTTTTGGATTTTAACAAAACGCGTGACTTGCTGCGACTGATATGGTCATCGTTACCTCATCTTCTAAACCAGATGATCGAGCACGGTGAGCTAATAGTTCGTGGATGTTCGTATCGTCTTCAACGTCCTGAGAACCACCAAGTTTGTCGCAGATGTCATTTCCTGATCTCTTTTGCATCTTTCACGGTGGACCTCAGGATACGTCCTTCACTCACCTCTTCTGCATTGCCAATGACTAAGCAAGCCCACATGAAGAGAGCCGACCGCAGGATCATTACTATACTAGATTTAGTAAGGGTAATGGCTTGAGGGATGCAATACTTAAACTCAGGTTCAACCCTATCATGCGACCGTATGCGCGCCGACCCAAACTGCGCCGACAAAAGCGCGCGCCATCGAAAGCGCGCACGACAAATTGTGGAGTGAAGGTCCAGGCTTGCATGGGGCAAATTCAAGCAAGCGTAACAAGTATCGCTCGTGCGTGCGTGGCGCACGCCATTGTGATCGACCCGAACCAGAAAGTGGTGCAACCGGTCGAGGCTGAAGTGACAGCAATCTCGCTGTCCAGGAGCCTCTCGAGCCGGTTCCACCCTGGAATTTTTCTTTGTCAAATTCCTCGGTCGTTCTTACGCATATACCTTTCGCAACCGCTTATGAAATTCTCTGTATGACCTAGATTGCGTAGTTTGGAAAATTCGGTCTGAGTGTGATACATACCGTTGAACGGTAACCGTTCGCTTCCCTTCGTTGTCGTGTTCTCCTTCTCATGCCCAAGTTGAGTCCCGTCTGCTACGAGGCTCAACTTGCTATCCTTTTGAAGCTTGGTGGAGCTGCTCCCCTTGAGACACGTCTTCGAGCGTCGACTCGGGGGGAGCCTTTCGGTATATCGGTCCCGATATGTGTGAGGTTGCCCTGATGATCCTCTAGTTCTGGTGGCCTTTGGTTGAACTTAGCTATTTGATGAGCTTCAGCTCTGAGTTCCGTGTAGCTCAGCCTGTGCCGTGTCAGTGAATCCCTAGTCTAACCACTGACCGTGGATCAGTGAGGTCTTCCCAAGGAAACACGTCCGTGAGCGTTGATTCCTGGGAACCGGATACAGACTCCGATCGCGTTGCAAGGGAGACCTTCCCCGACGGGAACTCTCCAAACGTGTGAGTCTTGTGAGACGGATAGGGGACATGGCTTTGTGATGCAGCGTGATAGACGCTGTACCCGCTCTTCCAAGACAACCTTGTACTTGTCTCTTCCTATACTTTCATAGTTTACCACATTACCATCGTGCTACGCGGCTGCTTCTTTCTTAGGGTCCATTTATGAGTTTGGTTCCAAGCTTCGCTCAGTTGTTTGTTACATTCTCCCACCTATGGCGGATACCTTAGCTAGGGAAACGGAGGCCTTCCGTGCAGTCTTCCCGGTCAGCTGCCCAACGGTTCTACGTGACGCCCTCATCGACAGGCTACTCGCACTCGGTGTAGGTATCGCTGACCTCTCGACCTTGGTCTCAAAGCCGGATATGCTGAAGAACACAATTGTTGGTGTCCTTTGCCCTATTGGTGAAAAAGAAACGGCAGATCAGAGGCAACTCCGTTTGATTCGTGGTTTGAGGATCGAATCCGCTTTACAAGGTGCTGCTAAGGCTTTCTCCAACAAGCACGGCCCTGCCGCTCAAGCCTTGAGCCTCAAGGTCAACTCGAGTATATGGAGCGAATTTCGAAGCGTTATGGTGGTGCAGCTTCCCCCGGTTTGGTGGTCGATCAGGCTACTGTAAAACTGCTGAGTGAGTCTCCTGCTATCTATCGAGAGGTGAAGCTAGGTTCGGATCGTTCCACAGGAGGCAAGAAGCCGGTAGTGGATGTCAACGGCAACATCCAATGGATTCCCGACTCGGCCACTGGTGGCCGCAAACCTCGCAATCTCAGTGAACTGTGGTTCGGCCTTCTCCCCATCTTACTATGTATCGACACTAGTTGCAACGTGAATGGGGGCCCCTGGGTGCTCCACTATTTGCAGCAGTTATGCCGGGTCTCCATGTTATATCATATAACTTATATGGAGAGTCGGCCGCAATGGTCTATGATACCCAGTTCCGTCGGTCTCTGAACGGTAGAGCGTTTGCTCTGGCGGAAAGAGAACGGATTCCCTTATCCCGAGCGGCGGTACGCTTAGTAGGTGGTGCCATGGATCAAGAAGCCCTCAGCGTGGCCATGGGACCGAGATCATTGGTAGAAGACTCTCAAGTCAAGGCCAACTCCTCACATGTGGTTTCGGGCTCTGGTCCGGCGACAACCCCCAACATTGTTGGGCCAACAAGGAGAGAGTGGCGAAGGCTCCGCCCCCCGGTAACTGCCCACATACTCGCAATCAGTGCCCTTTACTGAAGCTTCGCAAGTGTCCCTGACCGCCGAAGAGCCATAAAAAGGATACGGTGGTCGGAAAAGAGTTGCCTCCGACTAAGAAGCAGAGGTCATGATTCTTTGAGCCTTCTCAATGATCTAGATTGGATCAACAGAGGCTAAACAATTAGGTCATTTTTTCATCTACCTTTCATGCGAGCATTCGAACTGCTGATTTGAGTTTGATTCACGCCAGGGTTTCTCGGCAGATTAATCAATTCATGCCCTCGCGAGAGCGCTCAGCCGAAGGACGGCGCAGAGGCCGTGACCGCTACCGGCTAAGTCGAGCAAGGACAGTCCAAGTGGACTCGTCGGATCCCCCAGCTGAACCTTCAATTACAGGCGATGCTACTTCTGAGACTCATCCCTGGGTCACGAATGCGAATGAGATCTTTGCTATGGCTGTAGACGAATGCATACCCCCGATTGATGGAACCGGATTCCCAGCCTTATCTCAATGGTATGATGATATTACATTCTCCGAGCGTTATGAGAAGCTCTCTATAGCACTCGCCAAAGCTCTCCGTTCACGAGCAGAGGCCTGGGCCAACAGGAGCGACGTCCATAGCTTTCTTTGAGAATATCAGTCTGCTACAAGGTCAGAGCAGAGTCAAGCAGCTTCAAAGTGGGTCTCTTTGGGTATAGAGCGCGAGGCTGAGCAGTTAGCTCTGACATTTGCTCGCATTCTGGAATCTGCGGGCTTAGGTCGGGCGGAGACTCTCCTCGAATCAGCTTCCTCCATCTCTCAGAGAGATGGAGAAATTCTCTCCCCTTCGTGAGAGGCTTTTGGAAGTGCTATCTTGAGTTACATGGCCTGATGGAGGACCCGAAGACTGCGCCTTTGCGGGTTTGACCATGCATGGTATGCCTCTGGGGATATGGGTACCCCTCCCCGAGGAACCGCGGGTATGGCCTGCGTCCATTAAACTGCCTCTGCGTCCAGGATCACCTGAGGTGATACGCTAGAGAGGTTCCTCTGTACATGACCTGACTCCCCGTCCTCAGATCGACGACGACGACGAGATGGTCCGACTGATCACTCACCGATCATTCGAAGTTGGAATTTCGAACTGTCCATAGCGTAAGGCGCTCTGGAGCTTGCACCTGGCTGGCTCGTAAGGTGCCGGCCGAACAAGTCCGTGCGGCGGGTAAGTGGCGCTCTCGCGCATGGGAACACTACGGGTTACCCGAAATCAAGCGTCAGCGCAAGACTCATACATCGGAGATTCTCAGTTCCCCAGATGTTGCGAGTTGATGATGCAGAAAATTAATACATCATCAACTACAACATTAAATTGCATGATTCCTAATAGGAATAATGCAATTTGCTTCTGAGAGAACAATGTCCATTTGCGCGCGGAGTATTGGGGTTTGAGTGTCTCTGGGTATTACCGAGATTGTCGTGAGCAGCAGGCTGCTACTAGCAGCATCGCTGTCGAGCCATCACGACTAGTGGTGACGACCACCACACCACAACGATCACCAGAAACCGAATCTGGGACGTTGTCCCCAGAGACCTCCGCTTGCTTGAATGGTGTTTCCCTCCCCGCATAACCTAGGGAATCCCTAGTAGGGATTCTAGGTGAGAATGATGTCATAACTGCGTCCTAAATCATGACTCCTGATCACGGAAGTAATGAGAACATCGGACGCACGGGTGATCTGGGATTGTTGGGTGAGTAATGGGGGACATTGCCTATGTGCCTGCGTGCTAGGCAATGTGACTGTGGTGTTAAGCCAATGCACGACGTGTTGTGAGGTTCGGTATTATCACCGCCCTCTGCTGCCTAGTTGGCTAACACTCAGTCTCACCCAACACTCCCAAATAACTAATGCGATGCGGTGGAGCGCGCCTTGAGTGAAGGTCCAGGCTTGCATGGGGCAAATTCAAGCAAGCGTAACAAGTATCGCTCGTGCGTGCGTGGCGCACGCCATTGTGATCGACCCGAACCAGAAAGTGGTGCAACCGGTCGAGGCTGAAGTGACAGCAATCTCGCTGTCCAGGAGCCTCTCGAGCCGGTTCCACCCTGGAATTTTTCTTTTACCTTCACTAGTTGTTTGGGGGACATTGCCTATGTGCCTGCGTGCTAGGCAATGTGACTGTGGTGTTAAGCCAATGCACGACGTGTTGTGAGGTTCGGTATTATCACCGCCCTCTGCTGCCTAGTTGGCTAACACTCAGTCTCACCCAACACTCCCAAATAACTAATGCGATGCGGTGGAGCGCGCCTTGACTACGATTCGTGTTGCTTCATTATCATTGTATGGACCACTACTAACAAACTCAAGTCAATAGGTGACAAACGGAAACAATACACAACAAGGGGTAAGGTAGGTCTAGAAGGTCGTATCCCCTCTTCCCTCGTCCGAGAAACCTAGTAAGAAGAGATTACCGTTATGTATAAAGAAGATGGTTCATAGTACTCTAGTAGTAATAAAGTATGGTTTCCAATGAGCTACGGTGTAATATCATCGTCGCTAAGAAGGAATGAATTCAAGAAGCCTCTCCTCGGGTCGATCGGAGGTAGTAGCAGGGACCACTATGGGAAGTTCCCATTGGGAACACCAAAGTCAGGGCTGGTGTCGGTAAGTAGCTTTTCTCGTTATGCTGTGCGGTTCAGCGCAGAGTACGGAGCCCTGCTAACCTGTGATCATGCTATACCGTTAGTTATCATTTCGTTACGGTTCTACTGTGTCACGGCTGTTATATTGCTTTGTGCGAATCACGGTCTGTGCATGCGTGTTGTCTATTATTCCTGCGTGAACGCAGGCGCGTCACACATAAGGTTTTTAGGTTGGTTCTGAAGTTGATTCTCTGAATCTTTCCTTGGAGCCTGGACTTAAACCCTGTGCCTAACTTAGACCGTCTAAGATATACGGGTTCATTACTGTATACCCGCTAG